TTTTTTAACTATTGCGAAAGAAAATTATTGTAAGATTCGGAGTGGAACATTCTGGAATCTTCAGAACTGTGTCTGGGAACAAGAAAAACAAAGTGTAAACTGTTCTGTGCTTACTTAGTGTAAGATTGTTCAAACTGCCGTCCACTCCAATAATACCATTCCATTTCAATAAGTTGCATTGGTAAATATGTCGACATGTATTTCAATAAAAGATTTTTTTGCAAAAACAATATACAAGCGAAAAGAAAAATAATTTACTCTTAAAACAAAACTGTATTGGTTACTGGGTTCAAGATCTGAATTAAACCTTAATGCTACAGTTCCTGTATACAAAGTACCATTCTGAATTAATGGAATACAATTGTGCAGTGCAGCTAGAGCTCTAATATAAAAGAACTAAAATGGTGCAGGATATTCAGTCCAAAATGCCTAGATTAATTAAGCAGATCTGGATGTTCTCTACATATGTGAAATATCTAATTTTAAATAAGAGTTCTAAATTTCATAAAAAATTAAACAACCATATAATCTCATAAGTTATGTCACTGTTGGATTAGGCTTAATATGTTCCAAGAAGAGATCATACATTTAAGATATCTTTAAGTGATAATAAGATATAAATATATATTTAATTATTATTGAGAGCATATAAATAGTTATAAAATATTAACTAAATATAAATATATTTATCAAGTTTAGTGCGCCACTTTACAATCAGTTAACAGTTTATAAAATTTAACTATGATTTATATAAATAAATAGATTATAAATAAAATATTATATAAAAAAAAGTAAGAATCATTCTGCTAGATACGAAGCCAAGTGTTCTGAATTCTACAGGAATACCCTTGGTTGGATAAAAGGAAAAGAGAGCATTGAGCTAGTTCTTTCTTTATTATAACACATAATGGATCGCTTTTATATGTATTATATTACATATATTTTATATTATGTCATATAATATATTATAATCTCTATGGTATAGAGATCTTATAAATGCAGATCTCTGTATAAGGCTCACTGTCATTTATCGACGGCGCCGGCAGGTAGTGAATTGGGGTTGCATGACATTATGTTTGATAATTGAGAAGTGCAATACCTCTTGCAAATAAGAAGAAACACCATGGAAGTGAAATTTTTTATGCTTGGGAATACAAAATCAAGCTCGTTGTCAACGACATCAAGCTATGAAGCTAGTTTTATACAAGGATATCGAATGGTGTATTCAATGGGGAGATGGTGTTATTGCTGTCTTAAATTCTATACAAGAATTTTAGGAACAAATAGTTTAAAAAAAGAGAGACAGATTTACTACGATCAAACGTTAGCAGAAAGTGTTCTATGGATCGATTAAAGTTGATTTTCAATCATATCTACATAACCTAACCAAAATATTAAACTGGTCCTATATTTACTGGGTTCAAACGTCAGTACAAAGTGTCTTATGGTTTCATTAAAGTGGATTCTTAGAAATAATATCGACTTAATCGCACCAGAGTATCAAATCGAGAAATTATAAAAATTATAATCAATTCTAAAATTCAAGGTTATATAAATACCATTCATGGCACTAAAAGTTATTTAAGATAATTCTTATAAAAAATTATATCTGCAGTAATTAAAACCGAATTATTGAGAACCGCTATTCAGTATTTATACATCACTAAGTGAATTCATGATATTTTATTTGCAAATTATTGTTCGAAATTTGCCAAATTCAGGCATTGAATTTAAAATTTTTTAAATTTTAATTGAAATGTGAGCATTTCTGAAGCGGAGACGGAAGCTGATCTCTGTTATGCGCTATGCGCTTTCCATTGTTCACCGGTGTTTGTTTATTAATGAAACGACAAATGGTAGCGGAAAGTTGAGGTTCCCACTTAGGCTCTTGCCTCTTGCTTGGGGTCTTTAATTAGTAAATTAATCCCATTGTTTATTAATTTAGTTTCATTGTGTTCTCATTATGTTATGTGCTCATTTATTCATTCAATCGTTTAATGAATGCAAAAAACTATCAAATATCATTTTTCCCAGTTAGCAAATTATTTGCGTTCAACTAAGTACAAGGATCAAGTTTGCTTCTGTAGTGAAAAGGGTTTGTTTGATCAGTTTTGGTTTTTTTTTCTTCAGGAATTTTTTCTTTTGCTTTTGGCAGATATTCATTCTTTAAATGAATGTAATTAATACAGAAGGTTAAAAAATTAAAACAAAAAGTTTTTTCTTTAAATTTAGAAAGAAGTTCCTTAAGCCAAAACAAGGAAAAGTAAAGCCATTGGAATTAGTTTCTACATCATTGATGCATTCTGATTTGTTTTTACAAAATGAATTCAACATGTGTTAAATTTTATAAAAAAAATAAAAACTAATTATTAATTTTGAAAAAATTGAGTTTAAATATTATTAATATAAATTAATGAAGTCTCCCCTGATTCTTTCTAAATAATTTTATTGAATAATTGAACAACTTCGATAACTATTCATTTTTATATATCATACTAATAGGTAGGGTTAAGAACCTAGAAGTCCAGTTCTTTATTCTTCATTAACTCAAAATTTAATTTAAATCTCAACTCACGAATAAATAAATATATTATACTCACATATTTTTCTCGTTTAGTAAATCATATAGGCTATTGTATCTTCAGTTTAAAAAGTATCAGAACTTTACTATAATTTACTCGATATTTAAATACCAGTATTTCAAAGTCGAACAAAATTTTCTGTCACATTACTAGCCTTTTTAAGGGTTACCACATCAATTATTTGTTTATTTGGACTATAAATTACACACAACATGTTAAAATTTTGGAATTCACTGCAGCGGCGAACTAGAGCAGCAATTAAACTGCGATATTATCATACATTCTGTCTAATCTGAATATATAAAATAGCTTGTCCACATTATCTAATAACTAAGTGACAGTACACTTGAACTCATTCCTTAAAGAAACCAAGAAATGGTAAGAAATCTTTAGGGTAAGAAAAAGACCCCGCGAAATTAATAGTGAGATAAAGACAATTAATTGTGTACTTTTAAATAACATAGTGATTAAAGTTTAACCCATACAAATCCTAATAGCAAAAAATCATGATAAGCAATTATGTGTTTGGTACCATTTTCATTATATTTCCATCATAATTACTACTATTAGGATATAGTAGGATGTAGCTCTTAAATTCTAAGGTATTGAATTATACTTGTTAGAGAAAAGGTTTTTGAAAACTGGCTAAAAGTTCATATGAAAATAAAATCCATTATATCTAGTGAAAAATGTGCAAAAATAATTTATGTTGAGTTTAAACCCTAAAACCTCTTTTACATAAGACACTGCTCTAAATTTATTGATATGAATTTAATAATATAGTTACAGCTATATCAAAAGAATTAATAATTAACTAATTATTTAACTTTAATTTAAATAGTACAATATTCTTTCCAGTATGTTTTCAGCACAAACTCTGAGTGAGTTAGTATAATGTAAATCTCAAGAAAAGAGTGTTTAATCATTTAAGCTTCGCCACTTCATGTTGAGAATAAACATAAGTATCTCTACAATACTATCTGATAGCACTTTTTTACAAACTAGATTATAAAATTATATATGCACTTAAACAGTTTGATGAGTCGACTAAACCCTGAATTTAATATATTAATTCGACAATTAGATAAGTAATTATGGTCATTCCTAACAAAGTGAAGTGCTTGATGGAGGCGAGTATGATATAAGTAAGGTAGCACTTATAGAAAACAATGTAAAAAGATTATAGTAGATTTATTAAAACTTTTATAGCGCATTGAAGGAAAAGTCGCAGGCCCTATAAAATATATATATTCTTGATTAGCTCAATGAACTAAGTTCATTTGGACTTATCCGTATATCCGTCTGTTTGTTTCATCCCAAGCCACTCTCTCAGCTTTCCAGCTATCGAAATGAGTGAATGAATCTGATCACTGGTGAATTTGTTAAAATTGCACCATTATGTTGTATAGCTGCTATATAGACTAAACATTCTGAAATGAATTTTATCGGTTTTTCATAAAGATATTCAAATGACCGAATGTAAAGATATCGAATGTACTAATTTTTATACATAACGACACATAAAATTTTTTTGTATGGATTTAGATTCAATTATCCTGCCATATAAAATGCCGAATCAGACACAGATTTTGTTATATAAAAAAGAATTATTTTTGGTATGTTCATTGTTTCATCAAGATAAAACCACAAAAAGTTTTTTGCTGCTTCAACTGCTTATGTCAAATCAAATTTTAAAGTATCAAACATTCCTATTACGGAGCGTTAATAGCTTATAGAACTATCAGCTCGCATTTAATATCGAAAACAATATCTTTCTTAGTGCCAGTAAAGGGTTAAACGTAAATCAGTTTTATCACAAGTAGTAATAAATGCATAACACTCAAGAAACATTGAGAGAGCACAAGAATAAGCTATTGTCTGAATATGGGTCACTCTAAAATATATTTTTAAGGTTTTAATTATTATTGTTATTATAAGATGGTCGTATATCGCTGACGAATAGGACTCTGAATCCTTAGAAGAAATCAGAATGGTTTCAATTCTGGAAGAACGATAGGGAATCGATCACTAAACACCATAGAGGGCTTTTAGTCCATACAACATTTATTAAGCACAATCGCATAAGTATGATTATCACAGAATGATAAAGCAGAACTAGAAGTTTTCCAGAGAAAAATTGTTTGTAAGATCTATGGTCTTCTACGAATTAGCGACGACTACTGTATCCGAATGAACCACGAGCTTTTTTAGGATATTGATATGATTCAGCGGATTGGCATCCAACGGCTTCGCCAGCTTAGTTATGTCGTAAGAATGGATGAAGATGTTCAAGCGAGAAAGTTATTGAAAGCGATAGTTGGAGAAATAAACTGTAACTAAGTCTCTGACAACGGTGGGCTATAGGGTCCATTAAGCATTTTACCTTCTCACCACAAACGAAAAAGAAAGAAATCTTACCTGAAGTTTCCGACGTGATAGGCAACAACAGCTCTTGCTCTGAGGACTGCTTCGCAATTTAATATTTCATGCATATTAGGCAAAGCTACCGGCAGACTCCATAAAAATCTAGCTAAACGCTCAATATCACCCGAATCCTCCAAAGTTTTGCATACGATCTCCACTTGTGCAGCAGAAAATGCCAGTGTGGGCACAGCTAAAATCGGGCTTGGTGCTATAATCTGATGAGTTGAGGCGAATGTCTCAGATGGAGGCTGTTTACCCTCCGTCGGTCCAACGGCCATTTTATTCGTCGAATCCACTGTGAACGAATTCGCATACTATTCCGAGAGCACGAATATATAAAATTAGCGTTTGGAAAATTTTCCAATTAAGGATTAAAAAAATTGAATTCAAATTTAACACACGGATTATATAGGTAAACACTTTGGGGCCTTGGAAAACTTCAGAGTTTTAGAACAAAGTCGTTTTGAAGCACATAAAATTATTAAAATAGTAATTGTTTTTTTCAACACTTTTTATTTACGATTTGAATTAAAAAAAAATTTATTTATTATAAAAAAATATTATTTTATATGCATAAACACTGCGAGACACTTTTCTATATGAAAATATTTTATATTTAAATTAATTCACAATGCATTGATTTTTTTCAAGTGTAGTTTAATTTTGTAACTGATTAATATGAGATTAATTATATCTCAAATAACTAATTTAAGAATTTTGGTTGTAACTGGTAATATTCGCTATATTGCACTTATCAGTAGCTGCTGGGAAGTATCGCTGGATATCGTGGATATCGTTTCACTAGCTCGCCAACACCGAATACGAGCCAAAGACTACTTTAGAATAACTAACTGCGCACTTGCTTCGCTTTCATAGACGTCGCCGATGATGATGATGATGATGATGAGGCATTTCGGTAACTTATACGTGTGCAGCCGATTTTTTCATATAGACAAGTACCATCGAAACACTTAGGGACTGAGAACGTCGCAGAACAGCAGTGATTTAGCTTTGCATTGGATAATAACAAAGTAGCTGTAAGTAGGTGGATGCCAATGAGCTACGATACGAACATGATCCGAGTTTTGTGTTTTTCTATTTTTTTTTTAAATTTTTTTATTTACTTCTATTTATTTTCGCCTTCTTACTATTTGTTTTTTTTTTTATATTTTTCTTATTTTTTCCAAATCCGTTTTCACATCCGCTTCTATGAGCACAAAAGTATCGCAACCATTAACAAACAAAATCGTATACAATGTGGCGATGTAACTGAGATGCCTTAACAACAAAAATTTTTTTCTCCAAATTTCTTATATTATTTTTATTAGATATACGTTCCGCAACAATAGCAGCAAGCAGCAATACGCGCGTAACTACTGCTTCTTCTTCTAAGAGTTACGAACTACTACCAAGTCTGTGGAAGAAGTAGTCCAACAACCCAATTCAAAGAGGCGTTTCCGTTACAACTGCAATGAGTATATCCATCTCATTTGCTCTAAATACAACATAAACAAGCGTATGAAAGCAAGTCTCGTTCTTCTAACAAACGCAGCCATAAACACCACCAACACTAAGAAGATAGCTTGTATATAGTATTAATGGAAGTAGAATGCAAAAAGGAAAATGAAAATTAAACAACATTGCTAATATACAGTATCGTGTTTGGATATCGTGGATTTTAAGCTATACATATTTGTGTCTGTATATGTGGCAGTGTGATGATATTATGCCTTTGTTCACGAGGCTGAGATTGCAGTGAACAACCAACTACAGTAGTGCGACAACAACGTGTTAAATTAACAACGTCAGGCAAACAAGACAAACAGGCCAAAAGGCAGTAAGACAGAAAGGCAGCTGAGTCCTTACGTTACTTCGCATATACATGTTCCTGTACATAAATATTTCCTTTCATAGATTTTTTTTTATTTTTGTATACAATGTTAAACGTGCTCTTCAATGTTCCTTTTTTAGTTTTTTCACTGTTATTTTGTTAGGTGAGATCTATTTACTTATCGTTGTGATAATTCATTAATGGATTACCACTGAGCAGCAGTGAGCTTACATACCAACCACTTTATTTTGACATACAGTGGAACATGGGAACATGGAAAGTTAAACCATTTAGCTTAATTAAATTTGTACTAAATTTTAACATACTTTGAAAATATCAAAAAAAAAGAAAAAAATTGCAGCAAATGTCGTAACGGATACAAGGGATAAAAAATGAGATAACGATAACACTGATGAATATTCTCAGACATAGAAAATACATTTCATGTTGATTATAGGAATCATTACTAAAAATTTTGTATTAGATTCACATGTTCCATATTTCGCCAACTCCAGGACCTTCCTGTAAAGAGCATTTTAGGATGTTTACACGTTTAAAATAAGTTTAAAACCTCTGAGTTCTTATAGGGTACTATAGTAGGCCTAAGTGGAGCGTTAGGATTGCCGGTATAACCTAACCTCAACTAGAATATTGTTTTGAAAAACCATATATATGTTAGTAGTATTCGCTTAGCTCCAAGATCTACCTTTTAAGCGCAGTTGAGGCTTTGTCAAAGGTTTAAGTTGGTTTTTAAATTTTTGAGTTCTATAAGGTAACACAGAGCAAATAAGCTCTTCCGTCAGAATTTAAGATCGACCCGGTCTAAATTGAAGAACAGAAAACGTAGCAGTCAACTGCATCAACTAAAACGTTATTTGCTCAGCACTATAGTGCACTACGGATCACTGCTTACTAAGAAGACATGCTATGAAACTATTTACCCTATAATGACTGCTGTCGTGTTTGTGGCTCTTCGCTCTCCTTTCTCGAGTTTTGGCCTGCCGCAGCAGCTGGTGTATGTATATATTCAATATGCCACATTGTAAAAATGTCAGTAAAGGGAGTTATTATTATTAAAGTTTCAAAATCAACATTATTATTATAATTATACAACTGATAATTAATCTTTTTTTTGACCCATTATGGAATGATCTTGATCAGCTACTATATTTACATTCAATTTTATTACTTAACCAATTTCTCCTCAAAAATTTATCTAACCGTGGTCATTGTTAGAGACCCCATAACATATGGAGGAATATGAAATTGTTTTGCAACAGTTTTTGGTTAAAAATCCAACAAATAAATTCCATCTAGCGCCATCTGTTTTGCACCATGTAACTTTCTATTGTGCCTAAAACTAAAATTACCACTTCGAACCACTTGTGGCATTTTGAATCGATAGCTGCCACAAAAAAAAACTTGCCGAAGGAATTAAAGGCAATATCTTAATTAATATATGAAAAACTTGTTTGCAAATTAAAACAAACCCCCTGGTATAGTTTTAAAATATACAAAATTAATATTAGTTAATACTTCCAAGTACGTCGTTCATAGAGTTTATATACAATTGTTGATTCAATTTTAATGAATAACTCAACTTCAAAGTGAAGTGAGCTTATGTAATCCATACATAAATCTCTAGAATTTGTAAAACAAGAATTTTCTCAAAATTTTATATAAATTAGTCTGGAATCATTAGAGTTTGTGCCTTTTTATCGTTTTTTTAAGGATTGATAAATTCTTCCTATAACTTCCTTAAGTTATAGAGCTGTACTCCATGCAGACAGTTCGAAAATACTTGTAAAAAAATATGAACAAGAACGACAACTCAGTCATGTTTAGCAGTAAATTTAGTTAAACTTTTGCCGTGTGAATAGGTTATTACTTTACGTGTTGAGTATTGAGAGTATTGTAATTTAAGACGCACCTATCTGGTAGAAAAGTTTTATCGTGGACATATTGTGGACGTTTTTTATTTACTGTTAATATATACTATTCTAATATATTATTATATAAATAATATTAAATAAAATTTTTAAATAAAATAATTCGAAATTTTAAAGTCAACAATTATATATTTAGTTTAGCGTGTTAGACGACCAGGCTGATATTCTTGCTGATAGATAGGAACAGAAGAAATGTCTTTAAATTGATAGCAGCCAAAAAATTTTTTCTGGTCTATTAAATATCAGACATTTAATATAAGAACTCTACGTAATAATCATTGCCTTAGCCGTAACTAACTTTGTAGAAAATAAGCACACTCTTTGTTATTTTCCTTTCCCTTTCGCTTTCTCATTTTTTTTTTTGGTAACACAGAACGGCCACCTTGAGTAAATTACTTCAACAATCTGGAAACTAACACTAATAACATCAAGAGATTCGGATTAAATTTAATGGAACTACCTACACAAACCTAATAAACAATTACTATCAGAGGCTTCGGAATCACTAATTAGAGCTATTGATACTTTGGAATTCTTGAAACATACTAAAAATGTAAACAACGTTACTAAGGTTTAATTATTTATATGTAAAATAATTTAGACTAAGGGAGAAAATGAATTGCATATAGAAATCAATTCTTCACCCAATTTAAAACCATATTTTTACCTATACATGCAAATACACTAAAGCCAATGTTTTTCAAATGGATCAAAGAAACAATCCATATGTTTTGAAACTCATAATACATATTAACGATATACAATTATAAATGAAACTAACGATTACATTTATATAGAACATAATCTAAAGTAAGTGAGAACTGTAATTCACTTATATAATATTATAGTGTACGAATTATTTATGTATATTTATAAGATAATATCATATAAGCATAGAAGACAACAAGGGAAAAATTGATTTGTATATATACGAGTAGCTTCCTATAAATACAATATTGAAATTGACAATTCTATGTTTTAAGTATTGCAGCTTAACATAAGATGGATAGAAAGAGAGAAATAGAGCGAGAAAGAAAGTAACTTCTTAAAGCAATTTTGGGCTAAAAGTATCTTTGAAAATACATTACACTTATACACTGATTTGCTTTATATGTTACATATACAAGTCCACTTTTAGTTTATAGAATCAGTTATTTAACTTATATACTCTGACGAAGAAGTCAAAAAACTTCAAAATGGCACTTAAAAATTAAAATAATTTTATAATAATAATATTTATATAAAATACTGTTAGGAAAGTGTCTAAACAACTTCGATTTAATTTATAACAAACTTCATCCATTAAAGTTTTTGGCATTTGATAGTCTTGTTCGGTACTAGTTGCTGACTGTTCGTATTGCTTTATACATTGATGACTTGTTCAGTGTATTGATAATATATTGTTCAGTGATGATTTTGAATTTTTGCAAAGAAGCCAGTAAATGTAGCACAATTTCAGACCCAGTTGCTTGCGTTTCGGTGTTTTCAGGTGAGGCGATCAAGATGAACTCCCAGATACTTCACGTGACCGAATTGTTGGTAGAACGTTATTATTTAGAGTAACTAGTGGACAGTAACCATGGCAAAGAGTGAATGTGATTTGTGCAGATTTGTTCGTTGGATTCTTGGATGCTGCCTATATTTGTTTGCAACTGAT